TCCTCGTTCTGAGCACTGGTCACGCGTGTCTGCATGGTATCCACACTGAAAGCACCTGGATTCCCACCTGAAGCAAAAATCAGCTTATAATAAGATGTGACCAAAGTGTCCAAAGCGTGACCCTCTCTCCAGACACCATTATCATCCTTCAACTTCAGAATAACATTCTTCTTTCTCCGATGCGAGGAGTACTTGTGAAAGAACATGGTATTCCGGTCAGCCCCCTGAAGCCAGTGCTGCTTAACACGTTGCCTCCAGAAAGCTTCCTCCTGGGAGAGAACAAAACTCAAACGATCATCAAGGTGCCTAAACCGAGCCAAGGAAGCAAGGTCATGGTAACCCCGTAGGGCATTCATTTCCTTCTTAATATCGTCAATCCGTTTCCCAAACTTCTGATAATGGTCACCGCCCCACCTTTTCAGACCCCATCCACATAAGTCAAGCCTTGCCTGTAGAGCCAAACCAGGGGAAATGAAATTGAGGAATATAATATTTCTTCCGTGGCAATATTTGAGGCAATTTCATTAAATTATAATTAATAAAATATGAAATATAATTAAGGAAATGAAATTATAAAATTAACATAATATGTGTTCATAAATATTTACAAATTTTTTTAAATACATACATACATACATACATACATACACTTATGCACTATATTAATCATACAAAATTTAAATGCTAAATTTTCAATTTCCAAATGTAATTTTTAGAATTATAAATCTATCAATATAAATTATAATTAATGAAATTGTATTATAGAGTTTTCCTATATACATATTAATAAATATTATGTATATATACAATGTATTATACAATCATATAAGGAAATACATCCGATTAGAGTTTAAAGTTATACAAAATTTAAAATTTACATTTTTAATTGATTTCTAGGTATAATTCTCTTAGTTTTTTCATATTTTTAGAATTATAATATATAAACAAATACAATTAGGAATAAATCAACTTAATTATGTGTATTTTTTCTATAAATTTATCTAAATATATACATGATTAATTAGAGATTACATTAACCATACAAAATTTTAATTTTAATTTTGTATGTTATGAAAATAGATACGTGACCAATTATATAAAATTCCAACTATAATATTAAGATATTATATTGTACATTTTAACATTTTTTTATTTTTTATTTTTAAATTTAAATTCATAATAAAAAAAATTCCGTACAACGCACGGGTAAAACACTAGTATGGTATATAGCAAAACGTTGGAGGTTCTAATTGATAGAAAAATTTAGAGTTAATTACCAAAATGATCCCTTGACTATAGCGAAATTACTAATTTGGTCCTCGACTATTTTTGTTACCCAATTAAGTCCTCCAACTATGAAAATGTTAACCAATTTGGTCCTTTGTTCGGGCAGTCGTCTAACATACGGTAAATGTGAGGGTAGTGTAGGAATTTCTCTTTGCCTCATCCATTTATTCACTCGGCAGAGAATGCTCGCCGTTGAAACCGACGACTCTTCCCTAGGCGATTGGCAGAGGCTGAACGGCCACGGAGGGCGGCAGTGCCTCCTCAAGCTCCAGGAACTCGGATAGCTCAACTGTCCGCAGTGGCTTGAACTCCAGAGGCGGAGAGGAGAGGGAGGAGCTTTTGCGGAAGCCGAGGTAGGAGAGGACCTGAGTGAGCGATGACATGCCTCTAACGATCTGAACGAGGATCTGTAAGAAGAAACACAGCCAGTACGTGATCGGAGACTTGGGCTCTGCAAAGACGATCTGAGACCACGAAACAAATAAACCCAAAACCCCACCCTCACATTCTTGCCGAAAAACGTGGTCAGAGACTTGGGCTCTGCAAAGCGGGCACGTAGAGTGGTTCTGCAGCCACGCATCAACGCAGTCGACGTGGAAACAATGTTCACACTCGCTGACTCGCTCAACTTCCGACATGTGACACCCCGTAAATCCAAACACTAATCGAGGATTAATTGAAGAATAAATCCAAGTTTCCTTGCTAATCTATTTCTAAAATCCTGAAATTCAATAGTCGAGGGACTAGATTCTTGACTAGTCACTTAAGTCAAAGGGTTGTACCTTGTGCTTCTTGGGTTGTGCCCTTGTTCCCTTGTCTTTCCAACATTAGTAAGGGTAGGAATATCTTTCTACCTAAGGATTTTGATTCAAGCTAACCTAGCAAGACTCTTTCATTTCATTCACCCTTCAACCTAGAACACAAAAACTCTAGCCACTCTCTAAAATGGTTTAGCTTCTTCTCCAAGCTAGAATTTGAGCATCCAAGCCTTGCAAGTTTTTCTTCCAAGATTCCTACTTTCTTCATCTTTAGCATAGGAAAGGGTAAGATCCTTAGCTTTTTGGTGTTTTTAACCTTCTTTTAGGTGTCTTTTTCTAAAGTTAGGATCTTTGTTGTGTTTTGTTGTGTGTAAGAAGTTTGTGTGGAAGAGGAGCTCTAGGAAAGGCTTTTAAGGGTGAAAAGAGGAAGTTGTTAGTCTACAAAGGTAACCCATGCTTTACAAAACCTATTTTCTTATTTATATGATGATTCTTGGCTTCTACTTGTGATTCTTGTGTTGATTTGTGAGATTTGATGCATTATCTTGTGGTGATGCATGTTTAGAGCTTGTTCTTAGGGTTCTTGAATGCCATTGCTTGGCTATTTCTTGGGTTCAAGTCATATTATTGTTGTGTGTGAGATTTTGGGTGTTTTGGACTTGAACTTGGCCTTGTTGTTGAAAATCCCCAAAGGAATTATTGTGTACAGGAGGGTGTACCCGCAGGCGGAACAGCGGGTGGAGGCCTACCCGTCGCCCCACCCGCGGGGTACGTGGCTGCCTCAGGTATGTACCCGCGGGCGGAACCACGGGTGGAGGCCCACCCGTGGCCCCACCCGCGGGGAAAGTTGATGGTTGTTGTCGGGTATTTGTTCCCCGTGATTCTTTTATCTCGGTATTGATGTTTTGACCTCCCGATGTTGTTTTATTGGAATATTTGTGAGTCTTCTTGATGTTTCGTATGTCTAGAACCGTATGTTAGGAATCCATGTAGGATTTGGTGTCTTGAATCGTGCTAAGGGTCCGACTTTGTGATTCGTTGGGCTATTGTGAGTCTTGAATGTTCTTTGGAACTACTTTTGGTTTACCCGTTTGTTAAGCATGCTAGTTTGATGTTGAAATGCTAGTATGTGTGGTTTGTTCCTTCTTATTGGGATTTGCAACTTGTGTTGACAATCATTTGGTGTTGGATTGCGATCCTTTGTTGTTGAGTATGGTCTCATGTCTTTATTGTGATCTCTTGATTGATTCTTATGATATGAACGTATGCAAATCGGTGTACCCTTTGATTGATACTTGATTGAGGTTATTGTTGAACCTTAGTCTTCTTGGTAATGATGATGACCTTGTGTGACTATGATTGAGATTGGTGGTGTGTTATCTGAGCTTTGGTCACATGTTGGAGGCTGTGTGAATGAAATTAATGGTACCCTCGTGTACTGAGAGTTCGGCGCTATGTTAGAGGTTGTTGGAGGGGGACGACGGTCCCTGGCGGTATAAGGTTGGGCTCAGAAGTACAGGGTGGCACTAGGAGGTAACGGTTGGAACTGTTATAAGGCCGGGGGTAGCATAAGGTTGGAATAGGGCATAAGGTTGGAACTATGATACTTGTGACATGTAGTTGTCACCGTGTGATTGTGAATTCTTTGCATATGAGCATGTCTTGATGTATTCTACTTTGTGATCAGTAGAATGCATCTTGAGTTGTGTTGTCTTTTATGTTGCGGTCTTGTTGTTGTTGTTGTGAGGTGGAGAGCTGTCGTAAGCTCCCAAATTAAAACCTTACAAACATAGTAGCGGGATTAAGGGTCGATCCCACGAGGAATAACTAGTTTAATGTATGTGCTCAAATTAAAGGAAAGGGGAGTTTGGTATGAAAGTGATAATCAAAGTAAATAAACGAATAAAGCAATGAAAATAATATATTAAAAGCACTTATAATAGAAAACCTTGGTTAGTAAAGATCCACCACCAGAATTTAACAGTGATCATTGATTCAAAAAGTAATTAATATGCAATTGAATATTTATCGTGAAATTATTTCATTTCCGTTTTCCCTTAGTTGTAGGTAACTAAAGCACACGCGATTTAATTACCCCTAACTACTAAATAATCTAAGACAAGCGCTATAGATTTAATTTAATAGCAGCAATAGGAACTAGGAAAACCAACAAACTAAATAATACAAGCACAAGCGGTTGCATTTAATTTAGAAAAATATTCTACCTGAGACCAATTATCACTAAGCCGTCAATAATTAACCTCAGTTGCTACTAAATATTAGAATAATTTGTAGCACAACATTATCTAATATAGCAAAAAATTATATCAAATAAATTAGAAGAATATTTAATACCCAAATGCATAAAAATTATATAATAACAATAAATAAATAATCTTACAGCATAATCAATTCCGAACTTCAATTCACTAAATCAAGTTAAAGAAATTTGCCACGAATAGATATTGATAACAACTTTAAAGAATAATCTAGGGAGAAAGAATGAACGTGAAATTGTGTCCCAACAACATAATTCATCTTACTATTTATACATGTTTCTAATCATTTTCCACCATCCAATTTTGCTAATTTCTCGTCGCACGAAAATGTCTTCCGCAGATGCCGTAGCATGTTGAAGACTTTGTCCGTTCTACACGTGAAAGAAAAAGAAGCAAAGAAAACAATGGATAAGAATTGGACCAACAATCATCTTAGTTTTGAGGATTCATAAAATATAAATATATACACAAACTAGTACGTAATAATATATATATATATATATATATATATATATATATATATATATTAGTAGTATGTAATTTAAATTCGTAGGTATTCTTATATATTATTTATTATATATTATATTTAGTTCATTAATTATTAAACTCTAAAAAAATTAATTATTAAATAATATTAAATAATTAATACAAAATTATTATAAAGATGTACTAAAATATGAGTGTAAAATATGCATATCATGAGGTTGATGATCATCGTTTCTTTTGAGAGTGTTTGATGAGTCTTTGAGGTTGATTTCTCTCTTTGGTTTTAAAATGATATATATGGTATTCCCGTTCCAAATGGTTTTGTTTATATCTATCTATATAAGTTATTTAACGCGTATTGATGGGTTACCAACAATATTTGCTGACCGGGTGTTGTCCCCATGTTTTACAGGTTTTGAGTATGTGCCGAGCGCGCTAGATGTGGACGCTAGATAGAGTAGTTTCCATGTTACCTTTTGTTAGCCTGTGAACCTAGTTTCGCGGCCTGTGTGCCTAGACGTTTCTGTTTTGTTGACTTGATAGTTTTCCGCCTGTGCACCTATGTTTGAGATAGGTGTGGCATAACATCTCTCCGGTTTTTAATTAAGCTTCCGTTGTTGTTTATCTTGATGATTAGATGCTTGCCTTTGATTTTAAGTTTTAAAAGTTGTTGAAAAATCGGGGGTGTTACAGTTGGTATCAGAGCCTAGGTTTCAGGCTAGGGTGTTAGGATTTTGACTTTAAGAAGTTAAGTGTGGTTTGAGACCATAAGATGAGCCTTAAGTACCTAAGTGTTTAGGACTTAGGACTTCTAAGACGCGTGGTGAGATGTGAGTTGTTTGTTGTTGTTGTGTTTGTTCAGTTGCTTCTGTTTAGTTTTAGCGTTCTCGTCTTTAGCGCCGGGTGCGTTGTTCGTTTGTGCCTACCGTAACCGTGTTGTTTCTGTAGAAGTCTCGCCATGGCTTCGCCTCTTCATCGTTCCCGTACACATGAGACGCCGACTAACGAGCAGCTGGCTCAGAACCTACAGCATCTGACCCAAACGATGTAGACGCTGAGCGATGTCCTCTTGCACAACAACCCTCCTCCTCCGCCGCCGCCTGCTGGGAATCGGGACGTGGGACGCTTAGTTTCGGGGCATAGGCCGCTAGTTTTCGCCGGAGAGGAAGATCCGGTGTTGCTTGAAGAGTGGATCCGGTCCCTCGACAAGATCTTCGCCGTTGTGGGTTGCCTAGAAGATCCCCGTGTGGAGTTGGCATCTTTCTACTTCAGCCACGAGGCCGACCTCTGGTGGGTGCACGAAGGCCTCGCGTGCCAAGAAGAGCCTGGTTTTGGTTGGTCAGCTCTGAAGGACAAGTTAAGGGAAAAGTTCTACCCATCTCACGTTAGAACGACCATGTACGAAGAATTCTTGCATCTTCAGCAGGGGTCGTCATCTGTGGTGGAATACCACAAGTGTTTCCTTGAGCTCGCCCATTTTGCTCGGATGTTGGTTCCCACCGAGTTAGCAAAGGTGGAGAAGTTCGTGGCGGGGCTCAACTATGAATCCCGGAAGGCGTTGACTGTGAGTAAGCCTAGGACGCTAAATGAAGCCTATCTGAGTGCAGCCGATCTGTATCAAGTGCAGCAGCTTCAGTGGGGGTCGTTTGAGTTGGTCAAGAAGAGAAGTGAAGGAAGTGGGTCCCACAGTTTCAAGAAGCCGAGACAAGATTTCAGAACCAGACCCGCGCCCCCTCCGTCTCAAAGATCGACTCGGGCCGAGAGTGGTGCACAAGTGAGGACTTTTGGGTGCAAGAAATGTGGGAAGGACCACGTTGGGAAGGATTACCAAGGGCTTGCGCTTCGATGTTTCAAGTGTGGGGAACGAGGCCACAAAGCTTTCGAGTGCCACCTCCAATCTAACCAGGGAGCCTTGCCGTCCAATGCGAGACCTAGCGAATCTTCGGGAGGGAGTTCCGGTCGAGGTGTTACAGGGACGAGGCCTTCGGGCAGAGTGTTCGTGATGGGTCGGTCGCAGGCCGAGACTGAGGGTTTGGTGGAGGAAGAGTCTGCAGGTAACCTTTCCCTTTCTTGAGCCTACCTCTTACCTTGAGAGTGTGCCTTTTCTGGTGATTCCCGTATCTCTTCTTGTGTGATTCTCTTGTATCTTTCGAGTGAGCTTTCCCTTGTGATTTGATTGTCCATTCGGAGTGGTTAATGTTAGTTCTAATTCCAAAGTTTTATGAGTGTGCATTTAATTAGGAAACCTCTAGATGTTAAGCCTAAAAAGCTAAAAAAAGAGTTTAATTTATAACTAGTGAGTTTCAAACTCTGGTTTTTTTGTTTCCAACCCAAACCTTAAACCATCTAAACTAATTGTGTTTCTTGAACTGTATTCCACATAAATCCCTTTTAACCTATAATTTCCAACTTACCCCAAAAATCCCCAAATTAAAATCTTCTTTTCCCCAAATTTCCCCCCTCCCCTCTTTTCTTTCTCCCACCCGCAATTTGCACCAGCCGAACCTGCCCCACCCGTCGATCCTCCCTACCCGCCGGTCACCGCCAGCCGACGCCAGCTGCCGCCGGAGTTCGCCACCGACCGCCGCTGCTCCGCCACACCGTCGCCCAGTCGAGAAGCCGAGAAGAAAGAGGAGAAAAAGGAAAAAAAAAAGGAAGAAGAAATTTTGGGTCTACCTTGGTCTTTGGACATCTCGGAATCATGCCTAGGAGGTCTAGATCTGCGAGGAGAGTGGAATGGGTGGATGCTCATTACCTAGTCTTGGAAGGTAAAGCTTTTGATCCCGACTCTTTTTCGAATTCTTTGTTGGAGTTGTTGAATTACCAAGGTTTGTTGGATGGGTATCTCGCAATTAGGACCGAGACTTACCCGAGTTTGGTAAAGGAGTTTTACCGTAACATGGGTGTGACCAAAGATGGTGGAAAATTGGAAATTACCTCAAAGGTAGAAGGTGTGAAGATTGTCTTGATCGAAAAGCGGTTGGCTCAACTTTTGAGTTTGACAGTTACGGGAGTCTCGCAGTACAGTGGTGACTCCTGGACTGAGATAAGCAGCATGAGTTATCGGAGTTACCTGAGTTATCTGTTGGGAAGAACTAGTGGGTTCACCCAGGCCACGAGGCCGGAGAGGAGTTTTCTACCAAGTAAAAGATTTTGGTAATGCTCATTTTGGATTGTTTGTTGCCTAACAACAATAAGTGTCGTTTCTTGGGTAAGCTGGAGTGCACTTTTGCTTTCAGTCTGAAATACAATGTCAAGTTCAACTTGCCTTCATTGATGTTGCAACGTATGGTCTATTGTAGAGATCATAACCGAAAGAATTTGCCTTATGGCATGGTTTTAAGCTGGATCTTTGTTAAGAAGGGGGTGAGTGTTGAAGGTTTTGTGCCCAAGCCGGTGGGCAAGATGGTTCTAGATGCCACAATTCTCCGCAGTTGCAATCTGTTTCAGTTAGATGATGGTGACTACATCACTCTTGAAGAGGTCGCAAGGAAAGCCCATGCCGAGAGGAGTTCGTTAGTGGAAGAGCTTGAGATTCCGGTTGGAAAGTTAAAACTAGCAATGCAGAGCTTGGGTGGAGATGTTGAGAACGAAGGCGAGGAAGAGAGAAAAGAGGAAGAAGAAGGAGGAGAAGCAGGGGAGGTCGAAGAGAGCGACTCCGAGAGCGAAGAGAACGTAAGGAGGAAAGAGGCGAGGACCAAGAGAAAGCATGATGCCATGACACACGAGGAACGTGTGGTGACCCTCCTTCGACAGCAAAATCGGATGATTGAGGAAGGCTTCTCTTTCATGAAGGCTCAGTTTGTTACCGTCAATCAGAGGTTAGATAGGCTGGAGGCCGGGTCTAGCCGTGGTGGAGCTGAGGAGGATTCAGATGAGGATGCCGAGGATTCGGATGATGATTCCTCCTAGGCCGGAGTTTGGGGTAAGCTCGTTTCTTCTCTCATTTGTTGGTTGTCGTTTAGTAGTTGTTGCTTGTTGGCTGTGTTTAGTTATTCTCTTGTTTGCCTTGGGTGTTAGCTTGTTGTTTGGGTAGTTGGTTTAGTTGTTTTGCTTTGTTAGAATCTAGTTGTTCTGAGTATAGAAGTTGGCGTAGTAGGATCCTAGCGGTCCTTAAGGTGGTGTTAGTTTTTGCGTTGCTTGAGAAGTATCTTTTGTGTCTTTTGGAAACCTTGTTTTCTTGATTCTTGAAAATCTTACACCCTTGGATCCCCGAAGTCTTGTTTAATGGTATTTTTCTTCCCTTTTGTCACATTGTTGATTCGTTGCTACCCGTTTGATTGAACTCGTCGTGCCCAAGCTTCGGAGATGAAGCTTCTTGTTAGGGGGAGAGGACGTGACACCCCATAAATCCAAACGCTAATCGAGGATTAATTGAAGAATTAATCCAAGTTTCCTTGCTAATCTATTTCTAAAATCCTGAAATTTAATAGTCGAGGGACTAGATTCTTGACTAGTCACTTAAGTCAAAGGGTTGTACCTTGTGCTTCTTGGGTTGTGCCCTTGTTCCCTTGTCTTTCCAACATTAGTAAGGGTAGAAATGTCTTTCTATCTAAGGATTTTGATTCAAGCTAACCTAGCAAGACTCTTTCATTTCATTCACCCTTCAACCTAAAACACAAAAACTATAGCCTCTCTCTAAAATGTTTAGCTTCTTCTCCAAGTTAGAATTTGAGCATCCAAGCCTTGCAAGTTTTTCTTCCAAGATTCCTACTTTCTTCATCTTTAGCATAGGAAAGGGTAAGATCCTTAGCTTTTTGGTGTTTTTAACCTTCTTTTAGGTGTCTTTTTTAAAGTTAGGATCTTTGTTGTGTTTTATTGTGTGTAAGAAGTTGGTGTGGAAGAGGAGTTCCAGGAAAGGCTTTTAAGGGTGAAAAGAGGAAGTTGTTAGTCTACAAAGGTAACTCATGCTTTACAAAACCTATTTTCTTACTTATATGATGATTCTTGGCTTCTACTTGTGATTCTTGTGTTGATTTGTGAGATTTGATGCATTATCTTGTGGTGATGCATGTTTAGAGCTTGTTTTTAGGGTTCTTGAATGCCATTGCTTGGCTATTTCTTGGGTTCAAGCCATATTATTGTTGTGTGTGAGATTTTGGGTGTTTTGGACTCGAACTTGGCCTTGTTGTTGAAAATCCCCGAAGGGATTATTGTGTATAGGAGGGTGTACCCGCGGGCGGAACGGCGGGTGGAGGCCTACCCGCCGCCCCACCCGCGGGGTACGTGGCTGCCTCGGGTATGTACCCGCGGGGAACGTTGATGGTTGTTGTCGGGGATTTGTTCCCCGTGATTCTTTTGTCTCGGTATTGATGTTTTGACCTCCCGATGTTGTTTTATGGGAAAATTGTAAAAAATGCCCCTCTATAATATGTCAATTATCAATGTCACCCCTGAATTATGAGTGGTGTAAATGTTGCCCCTCAATTATCAAAACGGTGCACATATAGCCCCTCTCGTAACGAAAATGTGGTTCCCTGTTAGTGTAGAACACCATGTAGTCGGAGTAAATATGTAATTTAGTTGTTTTTTCTCTCCCTCGATTCGAAGTACCAGCGATGGACAGCGACGGGGAACCACAAGTACGCTACGGGAGGGGCTATATGTGCACCATTTTAATAATTGAGGGGCAACATTTACACCACTCATAATTCAGGGATGACATTGATAATTGACATATTATAGAGGGACATTTTTTACAATTTTCCCTTGTTTTATTGTGTAACACCCCCCAAACATGCTATATAAAAAGCCTTAACACATGCAGATAACACAACAAAACACTAGCACAACGGAAGATAAAAAGGTAACTGGATAAAAGTAAATCCAAAACAGGGGTGTTATGCCACGTTTACCAACAATGATAAACGCTACGGCGGTCAAATCTGCATTGTGTACACAACTATCCCAAACTCATAAGTCTATCTCTACATCGGCTCACAGGCCATAAAGCAAAGGAAAGGTACTAAACTATCGGGCACTAGACATCGCGCTCGTCTAAACATCACCTGAAAGAACACAAAGATAAACATGGGACGACGCCGGTCAGCGAATAATGCTGGTAACCCACCAACACGCGTTTAGTATCATAATATACATAGATATAATCAAAACCATTTGGAACTGGGAATACAGTATATATCATTTAAAGCCGAGAGAGGAAACATCAATAGACTTATCAATCACTCACAACAAAGGTCAAAGACCAACATACTCAACAAGACAACAGAACCACAAGCAACAAGCTCAACAACAAGGTACGACATACGATACACAACGAAGGACTCACAATAGACATGTTCTTAAGCAATGGAAGGCCAGATTCACACCATAACGAGTTCTATGTCCACATCGCCATCACACCAAGTCATATACCGTGGAGTCAGCACCACGGCTCGATTCATAGTAGATCAGTGTGGAGGGCTCCAAATCATCAACAATCATGCTTCACGTGGTCATCACAACGACCCGGATCACATGCAAGTGTCATCGCAATGACAAGGACCGCAGCCCAATGGAAACAGAGCTAGCAACTTTAAGTGTATACACCCCCTATTGAGATTCCAAGCTCAACGGGTTAGTTACCATCTCTGGCAACGGGGATAAGTTTCCCATGTTGCCCACAAGTAAAGTATCCAACGGCCATCCGGAGCTACACTACCGGTCTGTTCACACATAAGTCCCCACACTGTCCACTTTACCAGCTCAAACATCTCATCACATCAATCCATGGCCACCACGAGGACCACATCTATACCTTGGTGATTAATGTCCCATACCATTAACCGTGCAATCAAGGTACAGCCAGACACACAACACCATCATAGGAATCAATCAACGGATCACAACGAAGATATGAAACCATACTCAACAAGGAAGGATTACAATCTGACACCAACGATGGTCAACACAAGTTTCCACCCTCAATAGGAAAGAACAAACCACACACACTAGCATTACAACATCAAACTAGCATGCATATCAAACGGGTAAACCAAAATAGTTCCAATGAACCACAAAGACTCAACATCAATCCAACGAATCACAAGGTTGGATCGTAAGCACGATTCAAGACACCAAATCCTAACATGGATACTTAAGACATCGCTCTAGACATACGTAACAACAAGGAGACACACAAAAGCTCAACAATCCAATCAAACGGGGGCCAAAGAATCACACACGAATGGGCGAAAGGGTGGGAAAACAACCCCAAACCATTTCTCAAACATGTTCCCCGCGGGGGTGGGGGGGGGGGGGGTGAGGGGACCACCGGTAGGGCTCCACCCACGGGTACATCCTGCACCCAAAAATCAGCATTCGTGAAAAATCACTTTTTAGGCCAAGTTCAAGTCCAAATGACCCCAAATCTTCCACACAACAAAGATATGACTTGAACCTATGAATAACTCATAAAATAGAATTCAAGAACCCTAAATACAAGCTCTAAAAATGCATCATCACAAGATCATGCATCAATCACTCAAACACATCAAGAATATCACATAGAAGCCAACAATTATTATTATCAAGTGAAAATAGGTTTTGTGTCACATGGGTTACCTCTGTAGACCAAGAACACCTTCTTCAACCTCAAAGCAAGACCAAAGCTCCTCTAGACCAAAGCTCCTTTAGAACACCTTCTTCAACGGACTAATAAAGTAGTTTGATCTTATTATTATTATTATTATTATTATTATTATTATTATTATTATATATATATATATATATATATATATATATATATATACATGCTCATATGTGGTTGTGCTCTTAGGTGAGGTGGTGTGGTCATATCACTGTCGTTGATCAATTCTAATCTAACGGCAGCGGCACATTATTTGAATTAAGTAAATTTTATCGCGCTTTTGGTAAGTGGGGGCGTTTTAGTAATTTCATTGGATGGGGACGTGCATGTATATAAGCTGTTTTATTTTGTCTAATTTTAAGCGCTGAGAGAGAGATCAAGACCGCGATCGTGATCGCGTCGTAATTGGGAAAAGATCAAGATCGCGATTGTGATCGTGATCGCGTCGCAATTGGGAGAATATCGCTGGAGATCACAGTCAGAAGTTGGACGAGATATCAGTTGCGATTGCAATTAGAGAAGATCGCAGTTTGGAGAATATTGGAATTGGGCGATGAAGCCTGGTATGTTTGACTTGCTTATGTTTGTAGTTTTAATTTGCCTTTTATTATTATGTGTTTGTTCTGATTTGGAAGTTTATCGCCTGTTTTTATCTGGTTTTGCGGGGTCTCGGTGTTGACTATGTTGTTGTGTGTTGTTTTGTGATTACGGTGTACTTTTTGTCTGCTCGTGGTGCATATATTGTTTGTTGGTGTGACTGGCCGTATTAGAATTTATGCATGTGTCATGTGCATGTAGGTAGGGTTATTCATGTGTTATTGGATAAGGTGTGGTGCTTTATTAGTTAACATGTAGTGTGCAACTGTTGATTTGGAATCTTTTGGTATTTGTGATAAAGATAATTCAACTTATGTTTGTGGAGAAGGCAGTGGTGGTGTTTGTGATGAAGGTAATCCCACTGATGTTGGTGTAGAATGCAATGGTGATGGTTGCAATGAAGGTAATGCGACTGATGTTGGTGTATGAGGCAGTGGTGTGGGTTGTGATGAAGATTATTTGACCGATGTGGGTACACAAGGCAGCTCATGTGAGTTGGAAATTTCTCCTGGGTTGACTAAGTATTGGCACTCAGTTTGCGTTGACAGTTTGAAGCCTCTCGTTGGGCAACAGTTTGTTTCATTGGATGGTGCTATTGTTTTTTATAAACAATATGTTGGGACTGTTGGGTTTGATTGTAGGCAGCACTCAATTCGGAAGAGTAGGGATGGTGTTGTTGTGGAGAAGCATGTAGTATGTGATCGTCAGGGTTTTAAGCAGAGGGTTTCTAGTTTTGCTAAAACTACTTTGGCGAGGAGACGGAGGGTGACAAATAGGGTTGGTTGTAAGGCTAAGGTTGTGGTAAAGCTTAAGTCTAATGGTTTGTATTTTGTGCATTCTTTTGAGGAATGCCACACCCATTCGATGTGTTCAATTATTGCTAGGCAATTTTTAAAGGTGAATCGTAGCCTTGATGCTGGGCACCAAATGTTTATTGCGAGTTGCACGTGCTCGGGTAAATATTGGCTCTATTCGATCATATAGGTTGTTTAAGGAGATTGTTGGTGAGTATTCCAATGTTGGGGCTACAGGTGTGGATTTTAAGAATTTCAAGCGTGACCTGATGGCGTACATTCTAAATGGTGATGCTCAATTATTCATAGATACGCTTTTCAAGAGGCGTGAATTGTGTGAGGCTTTTGATTTTGAATATGATGTTGATGAAGTTGATCAGCTTTCAAGGGTTTTTTGGGCGGATGCAGTATCTAGGAAGAATTTTGCTTTGTTTGGTGATGTTGTTTCATTCGATGCTACATACCGTACTAACATGTTAGTATTTATTTTTATTGTGCATGTTGTGTATTTATGTGGTGCATGATTCCATGCCTTATGGTGTGTTTTGTTAGAAGTATAGTGTTAACTGATTGTTTTGTTGTAGGTATAAGTTGGTTTTTGTTCCGTTTACTAGAATTGATAACCATAAGAGATCCATCACCTTTGGTGCTGGTTTGCTTACGAGGGAAGACGTAGACTCATATGTGTGGCTTTTGCATAAATTTAAGAAAACTATGTGTCATGACCCTATTTGTGTTGTTACTGATCAAGATACAGCTCTCAAAGTTGCTGTTGCTCGTGTGTTTGGTACATCAAAACATAGATTTTGCATGTGGCATATAATGTGCAAGGTTGGTGAGAAGGTTGGGCCGGTTTTGTCTAAAGATGAAGTGTTTAGGAGGAAGTTGAATGGAATTGTTTAGAACAAATCTATGGACTCCAAGTCTTTTGAGGATGCATGGAGTTGTATTATGGAGGAATATGGTTTGGGTGACAATGGTTGGTTTCGTTACTTGTTTGATTCTCGTACATTTTGGGCATCCCCATATTTTCATGACGAGTTTATGTCAGGTTTGGTTAGGACAACGTCTCGATCAGAGTCTAAAAATAGTTTTTTTGGTACGTTTTGTAATGGTCATTCTAGTTTGGTTGAGTTCTTGGTGCATTTTGGAAGTGCTATTGGTGCGCAGCGTCATGCACAAGCAAAATTGAATGCTGATTGTGAATCTTGTTTTCCTGTTTTGAAGACACCATTGGCGTTGGAGAAGCATGCAATGGATGTTTACACCATTTTTGTATTTTATGATGTTCAAGTAGAGATTTATGCAACTTGTTATTCGTGTCAAGTGGCGTCTTTGTGCGATTGTGATGGTCATGTGTCCTATGGGATAAAAGATGGTGCCCAACGGGCATGGTATGTGGAGCTAGTCTTGCCTGATTACACTGCTACTTGTTCTTGCAAGATGTTTAAGCGGATGGGGTTGTTGTGTACGCATATTTTTTTTAAAGATCGTGGGCTTGAGAGTATTCCTTCTAGGTATTTTGTGTCTCGGTGGACAAAGGGTGCTTGTTTGAAGCCAATATTTCATATTGATGATACAATTGTTGATGAATCTTCTAAAGTGGAGAACGTTAGGGTTTTTACTAATCTATTGTGGTCTGACATCTATGCTTGTGTGAGATTGGCTGATAGTAATATAGAACGTTTGTCATAGCTACGACGTGTTCTTTGTGAGCAAAGGCAATTATTTCTTCAAGATGGGAGTGAGAATAGCAGTGGGGTGGTGGCTGGTGGCAGCAAACAAAGTGTGATCAATTCATTTTGTGGAGCTGTGTCACAGGGGTCAATAGTGGAGGTGCGTGATCCTATTCAAGCTAACAACAAGGGTAACGGTAAGTGGTTGAAGAGTACAAGGGAGAAAACTGCTAGTAAGTGCATGTGTAAAGCAATCAAGGAAATGTCATACTTGTGATGAATATGGTCATAATAGTAGGACATGCCCTTTAAATGGTTAGATACAGTTGTGCAGTTGATTTTGGACCTATATGTTTTCACAGTTGCGCACACTTCTTATAACATGCAGTTGTGCATTTTATTACAGTACTTTGTGCGTTTTAATACATAATGTGGTGCATTTAAGTACACCGAATGTTTTTTATGTTTTGAATGATGTGTTTTATTCCGTATTGTGGTGCATTTTTATATGTAAAATTATGTTGGTTGTTAATTATTGTGTGGTGCTTTTTATTTCTTATGTTGGTAAATTTTGCATGTAACAAGTGTAATGGTGCATGTTATTTTTTATAATGGTGTTTTTTGGTGGGGTCTTTTAAAAATGAAGTTTACGCATGATAATATTGCATTTATAGCGCTGCAAATGGTCTAGGCCATCACAAGTATCTATCACAAAATATCGATTGTCTAGTAGTCATATGAACTATGCCATGCCATCACAAAAATATTTACATGTTTGAAAGTCTGCTTAAACCCCAAACTCTGCTGTCTTCTGTATGTTTATTTCTCTCAGTTCGTTCACATCTAAGGTGATCAAGGAAACCAAGTATCTCACTCTTAGCTTGTTCAATTGTTCTTTGTTTTTTTTATGCAATCCACAATCCCATTCTTCAGCTGTCTGTCCACGGAAGGTTTCCAAGCGGCAGTCCCAATGTCACAGCAACATCTTCTTCTGTGATTTGTAGTCTTTGGCCATTTTGTAGATTCAATGTGTTGCTCCTTGCGTCATAGTTTTCAACCAGTCACATCCCCAATTTCCTTGGAAGGTTTGTGATTTTGAGGTCAAGAATCCTTCCCAGCCCAATGTCTTTTAAACTCTGGCGTTGTTGATTTGTTAGGGCTTTAATGGGTTTTGTTAGCTGTGTTGGAAGGGGCCTTATCTTTAGGTCAGTCTCTTCATTCTCTTGCTCCAATGTGTCTATCTCATCATCTGAGCTATCATCAACTGCTTGTTCATGCGCTTCTTCATCCGGTTCTGTATCATCTTCCATTCTATCAAAGAATGACATTGCTTCCTATTTTCTTTACTGTTTTGGCATTGATGAGTCTCCTTGTTCTAATGCTTTTCTTTTGTTGTTTGCATGAAATAATTGAAATTATTCTATATATGCACTGCTTACAAATTCCAGAAAACACCAACAACAAAAGAAATATAGACTACATTCATGTTGATCCCGTACAAAAACAACATGCAATGAGGTGCACTAGTCTGAAATGCTTAAAAATACACAGATGGTAGGATAAACATACACTATGTGCAAAAATTAAACACACAACAACCTTTTTCCCCAATATTCAAGTTCCAAATTCCAGAAAACAACAATAATAAACGAAATATACACTACATTGATGTTTATCATAAATAAACAACACGCAATGAGAAGCCCTAGCCTGAAATGGTAAAAAATACACCGACGCTAGGATAAACATGCACTGTGTACAAAAATTAAACACAAAACAACTTTTTCCCCAATATTCAATTAAGTTCCAAATTCCAGAAAACAACAATAATAAACGAAATATACACTACATTCATGTTCATCATAAACAAACAACACGCAATGAGATGCCCTAACCTGAAATGCTCAAAAATACACGGACGGTAGGATAAACATGCACTGTGTACAAAAATTAAACATACAACAACTTTTTCCTCAATATTCAAGTTCCAAATTGCAGAAAACACCAATAATAAACGAAATATACACTACATTGATGTTCATCATACACAAACAACACGTAGTGAGATGCCCTAGCATGAAATGCTCAAAAATACACCGACAGTAGGATAAACATGCCCAGTTTACAAAAATAAAACACACAACAACTTTTTTTTTCCCATATTGAAGTTACAAATTCCAGAAAATAGAAATAATAAACGAAATATACACTACATTAATGTTCATCATGCAGAAAGAACATGCAATGAGCTGAGGTGCCCTAGTCTGAAATGCTAAAAAAAATACACAGATGGTAGGGTAAAGATGTTATTTGCCACATTCAAGTTAAATATTCAAGAATACACTAATAATAAACAAAATATACCATTGCATTCTCGTTGTTTGCCTTTGTTCACCATTTTTGTGGTTTGTACTGGAGCGGTGTTGTAGTATAGGCTTTGTGTTCCTCTCAGAATGTTGTGGTGCGTTCGCCTCTAGCGTTTTCTCTGTTCGTCGTTGCAGTCGTTCGTCTAGCCTTCGTCGCTGGAGCGGGAGTAAGTTGGAGAGGTTTCACACTTTGGGATTGTGAATATGTAGATGAGACGGGTGTTACTTGCAGAAGTGGAGAATAGATGATTTTGAATTAAATTAATGGACGAGTTTGCCCTCCTATGCCGCGGTGATGTCTAAGTGTAGGGCGCAATCAGGAACAAGTATAGTGCGTTAGATTAGAATTGATCAACGGCAGAGATATAACCTCACCGCCTCACCTAAGCACATAGCCGCATCTTATCTTGCCTATATATATATATATATATATATATATATATATACACACACACACACATACATACTAGTTGTAAATACATACCATGTACAATTGGATAATATTCAATAAATATATAATTATTCCTCTTATAAAAGAAATAGATTATTTTCAGAAATATTATGTTTCGAAAAAATAATAGAATAAGTCTATTTACAAGAATGTTATTCCATTCATTATATTCTATGAACCAAACATATTCTTAATACTATTTGTTAACTTCATTTTGGGTCCATTTGAAAATCAAGAAAATGACTTTGGGAGTCATTTTCTAAATTTATTAAAGGCATAAGTGTCAAATAGACCCATCTACTATTGCGAAGTGCTCAATTCCCACCACGAACTAAATTAAGTGTCAAATAGGCCTATCTACCAGCTAAATTTGTTCAATTGACATTTTTTACAGGTTGCTAGCAGGTTGCCTATCTAATTATTAAAAATAAATAAATAAATAGAATAAAAAATTTTTAAAAAAATATAATAACCCAATCGAACCTTCAGATCTCTCCAAACAAATATATATATATATATATATATATATATATATAATAACCCAATATATATAATTTGCGTATCCAAAGTTCCATATAGTTTAACCTCAATTGAAACGGAAGAAGATTACTAAATACTAACCCAATCGAACCTTCAGATCTCTCCAATTCCTGTTTCAGTTCTTCAACTCGTCGCTTTCTTAGCAAACCAAAACTTGAGAGATTAAGCAAGAGCAACAAATTTATTATTGCACAACACAAAACATAACAAAAATGCCAAACCCTTATAGATCAATTAAACTACGCTTTCACTGAATTTTCCAGTTCTCTGACAAATCAATCTTCAGTTACAGAGGCAAAGACATAATGCATACAAACGATTGAACCAACCTAAGCAAATGCGAAAGGGCAGACGGCGGTGACTGATATTCTATTTTCTTTTTTAATTTTTTATTCTATTTATTTATTTATTTATTTTTAATAATTAGATAGGCAACCTACTAGCAACCTGTAAAAAATGCTAATTGAACAATTTAATTGGTAGATGGGCCTATTTGACACATAATTTAGTTCGTGGTGCGAATTGAGCACTTCGCAGTAGTAAATGGGTCTATTTGACACTTGTGCCTTTATTAAATGAAACAGAAATTATATTGTAGTTGACCCATGCACCTAATTGGGGATTTGTCCCATAGAATGGGCTGGCAATCTTTCATATTCAATCAACCCTTGACTCATCAATTAATTTAAGAGGAAGACTTGGTCACCTTTAAAAAGAGCCAAATTCGCCAATAAGAATATTTTTATTTTTGTAAAATGTATTAAATTCTTATTCTTATATATAATAACTAACAAAGGCATTTATAATTATATAAATTAAAATATAAAGTATTAAATTATTATTTCAATTATCAAATTTTTAAAGTCATAAAATAAAATTATTATTTAAAACCAAATTAGCAACTTGATTTAGCTTGACTGCTTGAGCTAGGTCACCTCTCGACCCTAACATCAATTTTAATACAAAAGTAATTGACTCTAAACTAATACAGCTAATAAGTATCTAATAATATGACAAGTGATACTCTTCCTAATAAAATCACAATAAAATAAATTCAGAGAAGGCGACCAGTCCTTTCGCGGCCGAAGGCGACGAGTTGGTCACCTTCTATCGGGGAAGGCGGTCAGTTGGTCGCCTTCCATCGAAGAAGACGACTGAGCCGTCGCTGATCGCCGGAGTCAAAATGATTTGTAATAGTAGGTCATTCACCGGTTCTAGCTTGGACTCCATTGTCTCAATATGACATATTAAAGGATGTAATTATACTTTTTAAAAATATTATTATTGTCCGAAAAGGGTGAGTGACTAAGTAGAATGTAATTCTCATATTTAATGGTCATAATTCAATTCTTGTTAACACAATCTCGACGATATATGATCTTTATACATGAGATAGTATACACCTCATCGGATAGTGGTTGTGATTTCAGATTTCTAATCTCAAAAAAAAAAAAAAAAACACACAAAAAATTCTTACTTCAATTATCAAATGCTTGGCTGGTTGACCTAAGTCACCTCTCGACCCTAACAACAATAGAATACTAAAGTAGTTGAATTCAAACTAATACAGCTAATAATTATCTTCTTCTCTCCAAAGGTTGAATCCGCAACCTAGACAGTAGACACGACAGAATATTTGGAAGAATGTAAATTAAGGTGACTCAATGGTTTAACAGACAAGGTCAAATACCAGTGCGCACAAGGAGTATGTTCATTTTGAGCATGATCCTCACACTGCCGCTGAAAATAATGTCAGATGCTGGTGCGCCCAAGAGATCTACCCACTTTGGGCATAATCTCCACACTGCCGCTGCCGAGGTTCGAACTTTAATACTGCCTACTAAATCAATGAGCTAAGCTCATGCAGGCAACTAATAATTATCTAATGATATGACATATGTCATTTTTCCTAATAAAATC